GGCAATGCTTGGCGCATCCATTGTTGTATCCTTTCCAGCATACAAAAAATTTCGAATGTCGTCTTACAGCGATAATTCGAACGATAGATGTCGCCATTGCTTTTTAGAAATTTAAATTTTTTGTTGCCCACCATCATAAAATTTGGCAATGCAACAGTGTCTTTACTGGTGTTATGAATGTTCATGGGTGGGGGTAATCATCTATCGAAGGGTGAACCGCATGGTCAAAAGTAGGCTGATGGTATTACCACAATATAGCTGTAATCGTAATTGTACATATTTGGTATGAATAGTTATAAAAAAAACACACGTTCGAAGACGGATAGAGCATTACATTTTTAAATTTTTTTTCGTGTCATTGGATATACTCTACAAGGCATGTATTAATTGTACTTCAAGTTTTTGCATGTATTTTTAACGAGAACTGAAAACTTTTCTTAGCGAAAGAGTTTTTTTTCTTTAGTTTTCGCACCGAACAAAAAGCGGAAGAAAAATTACTTTTCCGCAAGTTCCCGGTAAGAAAAACGCGGTTGTTGAATTCTTTAGTAGTCATATTTTACTTGTATTAGTTTATATTATCCCGTTTTCAAATGATAAAGAGCGAGCATGAAACACGCTCTAAAAAGGTCCACATTGATAAGTTTTCATGTTTTTTGTTCACATTTTAATTTTTTACATAATTTCTTTAAATATTTGCAAACTGGCCGAAATCGGGATTATTTAAAAAATTAATCGAGAGTAAGGAACGAGAATAGAAAAGATAAGATGACGTATATTTCCAAATAAAAAAAAATATTTTATAAAAATATCATTGTAAAATGAATGTAAGTTGGATGTGTTCTTTTAAAATAAAATGTAAAGAAACTCATCATTGCTCAAGGACAGCCAAACCCAACAATACTAATTTTATTAGTCTTACAATAGAGACAGTGGAGCCATAAAGAGAGTAATTTCATTGATGTTTTGAATAACTTGGAATAAACCACGAATTTTAACTTGGACGACGACCGTCTAATAAAGGGTACCTACACCTGTGCAAGTCTTGATTAGATTTTTTTAATCTAAATCCAGCGCATTGTCCCCGCTCCCAGTGCATTGTTTTAGAAAACAAACTACGTTGTAACTTGAATATCGCCAGTGATTCTAGTTCCAGACATTCAACCGTGCCCAGATGTGTATACTTTACTAGCTACTTTTGCACCAATTTCTACGTGCACTCGAAAATTTAGTGAAAACTTTGCGTTTTTTTTTCAATAACAAAAGTAATTTCTGCAGAATTGTATCGGCTGTATGCTTTTGTTGCAGCTTTGCAATTGGCACTTTTGCCATGTTTAATCTGGTCATCATTTGCAACAATAGAATAAATAAAATGCTACCAGAGTGTGGTTAAAACACTGATGGTTATAATGTTGATTGATAAACATGGCTAATAAATTACATACATACTACTAGACTTGCTCGTGTAGATGTAAAAAAAGGAATATGAAATGTAACATTCATTGGCAATATTTTTATACATGTCTTCTGAACCTTTCAAGATGTCGATACTGAACTTACTCGAACATTTAATTCAAAATCTGTGTTATAATTCGTGATATTTCCCATGAAATTTATTGAGCAATTTTGAATGCTATTCGAGACATCTATGATTAATTTAGACAGGCAAAAATCTGATAACCATAATTTAAGAACAGGAGAAATCGTAGACATAGCAGTTTTAGCAGTGTTTGGTATTTAATTTGAAATCACAGATAGACCTTTCAATTTTATGATTGGTATATGATATAAATATAGCAAGGTCGCAAATAGACTGTGCCTCAGGATTGCTGTAGCAATTCGGTCTTGTGTTCTGAAGATTCGAATCGCAGAGGGTTAAGCTGAGATCAAAGGTTTCGGCTATCTATGATAATTGCCTACTTCGTGCAGTGGCAGTAAAATTATTAGCTAGGAGCAATTTGGCTATGTCACGGAGCTTGTAATTTCAGGGTTTCAAGTTGATTTCCAACCTCTCATATGTGGTAAACATTTGTTAGCGAGGGTAATTTATAATTTTAACGGCGCGAAACTGACAAGAATTTAATTTATTTGCAACGTTGGCATCGAAACGGGTCCGCAAATTACCCATTAATACACGTTACAAGTAGCGACTACGACAGAGTAGTTAAGTCGAGTTATGTGGTGCAATTTCAACCGTATTTGTTACCGCAACTCTTAAACTGCGTTATTATTATTTACTTAACGGAAGAACTTGGAAGGATATTTTCAAATAGCTGAATGCGGCACCATATACCTTTCACTTGGTTAAGCATATTAATAAAAAGAGTTTAGTAAAAATTGATAAGAAATATATTTGATGAAATGCTTATGACTTAGTAGTAGATTCAATGAAGAATGCACATAAAAATTATGTACATAAGTATTAGGGCGAAGAGAGATCTATCAATAACCGTATACGCGTCTAGTAAATTCTTTAGCTTCAATTAGGTAGTGTTTTATACCCTGTCTATCAAACAAGTTAGTCAATTTACAATAGGTTCGTTCGTCATTGTTCCGTTGTTTAGTAAATTGGGAAAATCTTTACATCTCTAAGTATCAGTGGATTTGAGATTAGAATGTTTTTTTACCAATTTGACAAAAGAGAGGGCCAAACATCTCATGGTAAATGATCAAGTCTCGTCAGAACAAAAAAAAAGAAGTTAAAAAATGTTGGTCATCCTCTTAGTAAAACAATGGGCTGTCTTCAAGCCCAAGGTACAAGTTATGGTCGCCACAACGCCTGAAATAACTAACAACAAGAACCGATTCCTCAGTGTATCGAACGTTAAATGCAGTCTGTTTTCAGTAACACATCGATTGACAGCTGACCGCAAACCTGTTGTCCACAGCCGGCACGCTCACATTGTACGTCATGCAGCGGAAAGTTGGCAGCATTGTTCTTTTAGAAGTAACAGTCATAGGTAGCGTTCGTGTCGATGGTTTGTATTCGATATTAACTATTTTACAATACTAAGACATTTTGAAGCATGTTTTTTTTTATGCGAAATGATGTCTCTAACGAGCAGACGGTTCACCTGATGTTAAGTGAATACCGCCGCCCATGGACATCTGTTACGCCCGAGGGTTACAGATGCATTGACAACCTTTTGAAGATTGCGCTCCGGCTACCTCACTCACCAGACGAAACGCGAAAGTATTTGTTATACTTCCACTTTACGCCGGTCTTATATGACGTCTCGGTACGAACGAGCCTGCCCATTCGTACAACAGGCTGCTGCGTAGCCCTACGACATGATTTATTATTATTGGTAAATGTCAAAAAGATGTTATCGGTTGCCATGGTAATGCCGTAAAGTTCACGTAAGGAATCGTGTCGCTTTTTGAGCGAAAATTTAAGAAAAAACAAACTTTTCGAAATTAATATTACTCGGTGTTTCAGTGTGTTGTAGTCGGTTAATATTAGTATAGGTTCTGTCAGTATTATTTAGTATGATATTTATTCTAACATTTCTAGGATTAATTAATAAAAATAGTGATTAATTTTATTTATAAATAATTTAGTACATACTTCAGACCTACTAAATTAGTAAAAACGAATTCGGTTCCTTATTATTCGAAATAACTTTTTGCTTATTTATTTGTTTACAAAAAAATTTTTTGCTTATTTATGTGTTTACAAGTAAACAAATAAATAAGCAAAAAATATTAACAACAACAAACGCTTATAAGCAATCCCCATTGTTTTTTCCGTCCGTTCGGATAAGTACCACGGCCTCACAGAAGACCGGGGTGAAATGGAAGTGTTATATATACTTCTGCCTTTTTTCTGGCGAGCGAGGTAGCATGGACTATAATAAAACGTGGCAACGCCTCAACGTGCAACCCCCCCGCCCATGGATATCTGCAACACCTACGGGTGTTGCAAAATCCATGAGCGGCGGCATCACTTTTCTCTAGCTCTTTTGCCATAAAATAGGAGATTTTCTCAAAATAAAGTTCCCGACAAATCATCCAGGCACGATAGTATTACATCAATCAGCGTGTGACTGGTGACAGGCAACAAGCGATATATCCCCTACTCGCTCGGCTCTGTATCGTATCGATAGGTCGAACCCTACGCAAGATTGCATTGTCTATCTCTATGACAAACGACTGGCGGTCCGACGCGACGTAGGCATTGCTCTGTGAGATTTGCTATTCGCCAATGTTCGACAGTGCGACAAAAGATGATAGAATTGGTATTAAATAGATTTTTAATTTTCGAGAAAGCTTTTACCTTTAGATGATGCGTTTATACACCTCGTTATATATATTTTGCCTTACTTTTTAAACGACAATACTAACTTAATAACAGAAGAACAGTTGTGCTATCTATATTTTTACTAAGCTTATTTAGTTTCAAAAGGTTTCTGAGCCACGTAGCATCTGTTGTACGAATGGGCAGGCTCGTCCGGGTATATACTATAGACTCACGGGAGACCAGCGTTAAGTGGAATTGTACCTTCGAGATGCGTCCGCTAAGTGACATAAAACCTACAGGACAGTAACGTGAAAACTCCTTTACGTCCCTACATGCCTGTGTAAAGCGCCCTACACAGCTAACAACTCGTCGAACTTAACTAGTTACGCATGAATTAACAATTTAGCGCTCACTATCATTCAGAGTGCACTTCCAACGAGGAGGGCTGTTTCAAACTCGTGAGTTCCAGCTAGCCCAAGGGTTCTGCGATAGGTAAAGCTGGACAGAAAGCTATTTTATTATTTTTGTTTTTTTGCATTGTATTTACTATAGGATAACACTATCCCGTGTTGTAAAGACGTTTTACAAACATAAATGTCACGCGGACAAACATCCAAGTGCGAAACAACTATCTGTGGGTCACACAAATAGTTCTCCCGCGCGGGATTCGAACCCACGACCCCCGACGCCGAAGCCAATACCTTGGCAGCTGCGCCACGGAGTCATCAGTCAGTCAATTAATGAAAGATCAGGGTGTACTTACTGGGGTTCGTGTTCAGTTAGCAGCTCCTCGAATTGTAGGCGCAGCGTGTGCGCTGGCGGGGCGCGCACCTCGCTCACGCAGTCCACGTCGTCCGGGTAAGGGCGAGGAAAGCCGGGGCTCGACACTATAGCGTGCGGATGGCTGTGCGTCAGCACTATGCTCTCGTTGCACTGCACTTTGGACGCCATGTACGGATCTGTAACGAACAGACATCATAGACATGGAAAGAGTGGCTGATTGGGCGTGTCTTTATACGTCTCTTGAAACTCTTTTTCACGAATCTTTCTTATTTATTTCAATTTTTATACAATTACTGGCTGACCCGGCAAGTTGTTTTGCTATATAAATACTTTCTTAGGAATTTGTAGGGTAGAAAAAAATGTTTGAGGTGGAACACCTTTATCACTTAGGGGTATGAAAAATTACGACCGATTCTCAGAACTACCAAATATACATATAAAATTGCAAATAGATAGAGTGATTCAAGCGGAAGGTTTATATGCCCATATCCTGTTTCTATGCCATATTTTCAAAAGGTTGTCAACGCATTTGGAATCCTCGGGTGTAGCAGATGTTCATGGGCGACGGTATTTACTTAAGATCAGGTGAACCATCTGCTCGTTTGGCAACTTTTCACATAAAAAAAGTATAATTCATGCATAATATAGTAGAGAAACACTGATAACTTTAAAGGTTTCTAATGCGATATCGAAAACAAACAATCAGCATAGCACCCGTGCGAAGCCGGGGCGGATCGCTAGTATAAGCATATAGCAAACACTAAACGTAAAATAATAAATATAGTAATATAATAAATACGATTATATCACTACAAATATATACACCGATATAAATATATTACTTAATGATACATCAATATGTAATATAATAATGAGTAACTAATGATACGATTGATGTACTAATTTATTTAGAAAAAGATTCCGTACTTTGCTAAAAACGTTTAAACGAGTACATTTATTTTTAAACGGGGTATTCCCATCACCATACACCATGCACATATAATAGACCATGTAAAGGCTATGAGAAATCCGGAAAAATATAACAAAATTGTGTTTTGTATACGTTGCAAGAACACGTGCCGAGTTTTATTCTTTTATTCCAAAATATCGTTTTGTATATTAATGCGTATTATGTATGAGCGAAATACTTTAAAGAATTTAATTTGCTGTAAGTTGTAACACCGGGAATTAAAAAAGGTTTAAGCCAAGAGACGTCTACAGACAATATTTAATACATAAGAGTAAACGTTCTGTGCAATTTCTCGCTTTTAGTTTCAATTACGAGTATTCAGTTACTGAGGTAGGCCAGATAACTTGTTAAATGCATACATCTTATAGTTCACGTCGACAAATACGTAAGAGCATATTTAATTTGGGCAGGCCTATTTCCAGCAGTGGACTCAAACAGGCTGAAATTATGATGATGATATTTAATTCTTATCAATAAAACAAACAAACAATAAGTGTGATTCATATTCGAAACGCTCCACGTTTGTTACATAATTACACATCCTGGAAATCGCCTACACTGTAACCACCCAGCTACGACATTCCATTCTCAAGAGATTGCTTATTTCGTGCTACGTGCCGTCGCCCGAAATCCCACGGATACGAAGTGGTTTCGCAACACAGGTATTGGACATCGGGACCTTCCGAAGCATCGCAGCGAGCGTCACTTTTGTGTCTCACATCGAGCAACTGTCACCTCCCTTAGAAATGTAGTTAACTTGTAATTTTTATATGATAAAGTAAGTAGATTTAAGTTTAACTTTGCATTTTTTTGCATCCTCCGGCCGCAGCCTACGTAATTCGTTCGTAAACATTGACGGGGGAGAATAATGAAACGCGAGACAAACACAGCAATTTTATTGTTTGCGGCATAATAGCGTTTGAGCGCTGAAGCCGAAACAGCTACGGTTTGCATCGCGTCGCTTCCTTAAGAATTCATCGCATAAAACATTTGCAAAACAAGCAGGCTGTGCACTACGAATGCAATATGGCGGCAGAGGGAAACGTGTGCTCACCGAGGCATAGCTTCAGCTCCTCGTCTGTCTCCTTAGGAGCATTTTGCATAATTTTACATCTCATACATAGCCCTGAATAGGCGATGATCGGTGCCGCGAATGAGGAATGGAGATTTGATGGAATGGCAGTTCTATTATACTTTGTTTCTATATCAATGGTTAGAATTATCCGCCCTTATGTAGTAAGTTATGTACGCACCGATGATATTATTTTATTGAACATAATGAGATATGAATCTAAAACGAATGTAAGTATATGTCTAATTTATTCTAATTAAATTACGTGTCCTCATGCCGTGATAGCTTAGGTTACGGGTGTGCGCTTTTAATTTAGTGTACTCGAGCAATCAGAGTTCAAATTCCAGTGCCGCTGCCGATGAAGTTGTTAAATGCATTTTAAGTGCTGAAAAAGGCGGCAGTTCACCTGTTGTAAATGATAACCGCCGCCAGTGGACATTTGTAACACCTGAAAGGTTGCAGATACGTTGCCACCTTTTAATAAATTGGGCCGCGGCTACCTCACTCACCACACGAAACGCAGAAGCGTCACACTAACGGTGGCAGGGTCACGCATCGGCCTCAGCTGTTTCACGAATGGGCAGGCCCGACCGGGTAAGTACCACGACCTCATAGAAGACCAGCGTAAAGTGGAAGTATGACAAATACTTTCGCGTTTCGTCTGGTGAGTGAGGTAGCCGGAGCCCAATTTTCAAAAGGTTGTCAACGCATCTATAAACCTCGGGTGTAGCAGATGTCCATGGGCGGTGGTATTCACTTACCATCAGGTGAACCGTCTCCTCGTTTGGCAACTTTTCACATAAAAAAACTTCCACTTTACGCTGGTCCTCTGTGAGGTCGTGACCTTCCCCGGAGGGACTTGCCAATTCACGCAAAAGGGAAGACCAGACAATACCATGAACAGAAGTTTCTGCTGTTGAACGAATGGGTAGGCTTGTCCGGGGAAGTACCGGACAACCGGTGTGAAGTGGAAGTATTCTAATCAAATATTCAGAAACGGCTATATATAAAAATACAGTACTAATCTATATTGTATCATCTTTATAAACCTTGTTTAGTACTAAACGTTTTTAAACGTTAAAATTCTTTTGTGTAAGGGATTCGAATCGGCAACTCGATAAGCTTAAACGATCTTTTTGACAATGATTAAAATAGGTAATGCTCGAGAAAACGCATTCTTGAAGTCGAAATACTAATATAAATAGCGTTCTTGGCACCATGCCGCTTATATTAGGTATATTATATAATATGTAATTTAAATATATTTAATCTTCCAAATATTAGATTAATAAAAATTGTTTAAACTTTAAAAATATATCTATTATAACACATTAAAAGTTTAATTTAATGCTACAAAGATGCCGAGAGCCAAGAGGCCAGCCGAGTAATTACCGTTTATGATCGCTAGATGGCGCACCTTGTTCACAGCAGTACGTACTAGCCATTAAATGTTTATGGAGGACGTTGCCAAGCAATAGAGTGGGGCCAAAATGGTTGTTACGGGCGAGTTGTTACAACATCGCTTAATGTTTTGGTGGTTGTGCCATTAATGTATGTCTGTCTGGTCACTCGTGACTGGTCATCAAAAACAAATCCACAGATTTTAATGCGTTTTAATTAAAAAACTTTAATAATAAAAACGGTTCTTTTAACTAGAATGTCCGTAGAAGAACCGGCAAGTAACTGTGTTCTTATTATTTTTTTTATTAAACATATACACATATGTATACAAAATTATTTAAGTATAAAAACAGCAGCAGCTAGGGTAGAGCATACACGTTTCTATTAATACCCTTAGGGTAGCAGTAGATTTCCCCATGTTTTCGACTGTCTCACAGATTTTGTCTCACAGGATTTATTTTAGAGTAATTTTTTGTTAGAGCCTAAACGTTATTTTCAACAGTACAATAGAAAACATAAACATTATAGTTTATAGTAGACTCTTTCAAATATAAAGTAAAGTAAATAAAATGTGACTATTTATCTAATGTGACCATTAGCAGTGAAATCTAGCCTTGCGCTTTGATAGTGGCCATTATAATCTGAGGTCGTACCGCCCGATGCGTCATATTGTCATAAAATAAAAACCAATCACTGATAATTTAATAAAACTACAGTTTCTTGCTCCTTATTTGGTGGTACCTACCCGGACGGACCTGACCATTCGTGCAACAGTGAACACTGTTGCGAGGCCCTACCACTAAGAATTATTACTTTACAAATACAAATTTTTACTCTGACCTCTCGGATAATAACATACATTGTCGCAAAACGGATTGAGGTGTACAAAGGCTGACGTTATTGTTAACTTGGGCAACTTACGAGAGAAGAGCTATTAAGCTAAAATGTATCTTGACATCACGCTGTGTAGTAGCGGGTATGTATATAATTTAATTAATAACAACGCGATTGAATCTGTAAATTCGTTTAACTAAAATCTTTGACTTTCGAAAATTTTGGAAAACAAATATATAAAAGTTGTAGTTTAACATATTATAATCAAATTGCCCTTACGATATACAGGCGTCATTGTTTTATATTATACTCGTAAGTCTAGGCCATTACCTTTGGTGACCCTGAGCGGCAGACATGGGTGTCCGTTGTTCAATATGGGGCTCCTGAGGGGTGCTCTGCCAATTGCACTGGCAAAAATACATTTAGAAGCGGAGGCCCAAAATGGCCATAGTCGCACCGGGTCGCGGAAGGTTGTGTCTACGTGTTCCTGTGCCGCGGCCGATGCGACAGAGACAGTTGAAAATTACCCGTCTCCGGGACTCCCACATACCCTGCCACTCCCGCGATCCAGTGGCAGGGGATCCATAAAGGATTTTACCCAGGAAAGAGCCACTGACCTTTCGACCAATGATCAAGTTTGAAATCGCAGGTTGAAAACGAGACGAATACGTGATATGTTTTCTAATCGCTCGCAGTTAGCAGTTAATCGTTCGTAGTTTGACAATGTTTGAACTAGCGGAACGTGTACCAGACAGCGCACTTTAACCTTTAAGTCCGTATCACGTACCGTCTTCATGAAGCTACTAACATGACGTAGACACTTAAGTGGTCAGTGCATTGTCTGGCTTCCATTGAAACTGGACACTTGTTATAGTTGGCGATGGACGGTTAAAAGAAAGAATAGAATCTGGTTATCGTAATGTTTAGGCCATGCCTTGTGCAAAAGTGGTCATTGTCCTTTATCAAAGTTGAAGAACTAGAGACGTTCGTATTGAAAAAAGTTTCCTTTGTGGATTAAAAATAAAAAACAAACCAATAAAGAATGATTTATTTTTAATAAAATAATAATTAATGTTTTCTCCAAGTTATTTATAGCTCTAATATCAATAGAGATTCTTTAGCCGAAAAATGTAGGATAGTTTTCGGCCGTAAATTAGGTGTAATAGTATTTTTTTCAACAAACAAAAAAATATATAATAAAGGAGATGTTAGGTTATACGTTTGGGCAAATGTAAATGAGTTTGTTCAGAAATTGCATGATTTCAAGCAATAAACTAAAAAAAGCATGGTAAATAACTTTCAATTCTTCCAATAGTCGTTTCGCCTCTTAAGTTCGTTAATATACGTAATAACTTGGAAAAGCTGACTGATACAGAGAGACATAAGATATTTTATGTATATGGATTTCCATTTTGCTATAAACGAGGGTACATCTTAAGTATTTCAAGCAGACGGGCAGTAAAGTATCATGAATACAGTTCTTCTTCGTTACATTTATTTAATTAAAATAATTCAATTAGCGAGTTCTCCAGAAGATTCTCAATCCGCGCGTTTAATTAGCACAAGTGCTTAGTTATTTATCTTGGGAGATAAATTGTACTTTAGGCTTTTATAAACGTAGCCGAAGTTGAAGTTTTAAATTAGGCTAGTATTCAAGTCGTGCTTAAGTGAAAAGTTAGTTTCCCACCTGCGATAAGTCAGGTAGTATGACAGAAATTCTCAATGTCAGCACAGGCGCTTATTAGGCTCCTAATGGCCGTTTTTTCAATCTTTAATATTTGTACACCTTTATCGTGTATTTGTACATTTCTATCCCAGATATCCCAGAAGACGCGTTTCATCTGGTGAGTGAGGTAACCGGAACCCTCTTTATTGAAAGGTGGCAACGCATCTGCAACCCTACGGATGTTGCAAATGTTCATTATCATAGGACGCATGACTGCCTTGCGCATGGCGGCCTTATTAGCTAAAATAAGCGATCAGCAAGCGATCAGCGAAAATTGTGCAGACGACGCGCGATCGATTGCTTTATGCCAAAAAATTCGTATTACGTTAACCATCGCTAACCTATTGTTCGCTGATCGTAAATATACACTTTTTGCTCGCTAAACTGTCAAATAAGCCATCGAGTAGCAATAGCAATAGGTTAGTAAATGGAAAGTTTTTAAAACTAATGTTTCTAATTTTATTTAAGTGTATTGAAAAACTAAAAGCATGTGAGTCGTCTTTTTAATGGCTTAAACTTTCAAGTACTGTTATAGCAATCGCTGTAACAAGTGGTCAAACAAAAAATATACAATCTCTCTAACGAGAGTTAATACTTAGATGTTTGCTTGGATTTTGAAGTCGGTTATGGTATGAATTTTCTTGGTAAGAATACACTTTAATTCTTCAGCCAGTTTTTAGGTAAAGTGCTATGGTAAGTTGTTTATGGTTGAGTTGCTTGTGTATAGGATTCCTTATTGGTATGTGCTTTTTTAAATACTTAATACATTATATATAACGACGTATTACACGCAGAAGTTTTACGTGAAAAAATACCGATGTCACCGAAAAACACCGGAATAATTTTTGGGTCAACCCAGGATCTCCAGAGCGTAACTTGATAGCTTAGGTACTGCGCCCCCGGGTCATATAAAAAGCTAACTGCTTCTCCAGTTGGCCAGCATCTACGTGCATCGTTGCCAAACGTCCGCCCGAATGTGGGATAGCGTTAAAAAAGCGGCAGTTCGAAATTTAAAACCCGCTGTGTTCTGCCAAGCTCGCCAGGCGGGCGGTATTTTACGGCCCGTAGCGAGGTTGGGCCTCGCCAGAGGTGCGGGGCGGTCGTTAAGCGTTTTATGGCCGGCCTTTGGCGAACCACTCGAGGACAACGAGCTCGCCGTGAAACCCAACAGCCCAATCGAGCTTGTAAACAGAGCACTTAAGTGGATTTGCCAACATTGTCGATTACCGAGCGATTTCCTTGTACGCGACCTCTCGTGCTTTTAGATAATCACAACGCGCATAACATTAGGTGGAGATTGTAAATCATTCTGGCCCTTCTTACTTGTTGGTATATTCGAACGACTGAGTTCATACCCCGGTGCGCAAATGCTCAACAAATTTGATGATTCAACCACCATTTTGACAAATAATGGGCAAATATAATAAGTCTGTCCCGTGACCATGGACCCTGTAAATGGTTCGAAACGTCGGGAATTAAAATTAAAAATAAACGCAATAAATCCGTAAAAATTAGTTTCATTTATAAAATATAATAAAGATAATGTTTTCATTTAAAAAAAATTGTTTAATTTTATTTTATGTATAATGTACGATACATCTATGATATTTGGCGAAGAAACACTGAAATTACCGTATTTTAAAAAAAAAAGACATTTTATTGATAAATACTTCTTTCGACAATACTGGGCACTGATCATAATATATTTATAATGGCACTGCTATCTCCAGTGATTTTGCATCTTTAGTTCAATAGCAATCTATGTAGGCTCACCCTCGATGGAGGGGCGTTCGCATACGAAGTAGTTGTGCTCGTGGCAGCCCCTGTCGTTCCACATGAAGGTCGGCTCTGGTGGCGAGGGCCGCGGGGGGAACTCCCGGCGCGCCTCCACGCAGTCCTGGCCGGACGTGCCGTCATCGTTCGGCTGGCTGCTGTGCTTTCGCCAGCCGGGGAACCAATCTGTACAGGGAGATTAAGGCATCATTTTTTTTATTTTTTTTATTTTGTGGTAGCTATAGAGGATATGATTAAAGGTTTGTGATATCGGAATTGGTAACGGCAACAAGGTATTTAAACAGACCCAAAAAAAGAAGCGGGAATACATTTTTTTATGTGTGTTCGCGGATAACTTCGTCATTTATAAACCGATTTTAATTTTGATCCTTTTTTTTGTTGGAAATGAGATATATCAAGGGTGGTACCATCATAAGGAAACCCGGATCTGATGATGGCATCCCAGAGAAATCGAGGGCACTCCTCAAATGTTATGGGTGTTGACAATGTTTTTAATTTCCTGTCTGAAGTCGGTTTTTTTTGTTCAAAATTATTTGTTTTTAAACAAGTACCGTAAGAAGAAATTTTAATTATTACAAACAAATGTGTTAGAAAATTAGAAAGATCTTTCTAAATTCTCAAGTAAGGGATAGATTTGATTAACAAAAGCAGACATTAGAATTACAATGTATAAAACATTACTCTGCTACTAACAAGGAATTATGTATAACGATAACAATACAAGCTCTAATGATAAATACATAAGTATATATTTATAAATTGAGCTAGTGTGTTTGTTGTAAGTTTCATTCTTTAGGGGCTTTGGTAGGTTTCTTATAAACTCTAAGTAATAACTTAAAACCGTTTTATAATTAAAACAAACAAATCCTTAACATCTGGTAGAAATGTTCATTACAAGATGGATTCCATTCTTTCGAGTTTTCATTTTAAAAGCTTTAGATAATTTCTCGTTCGCCCTAAACGTATTTTCGGATATTCCCTAATGAAACGCCGTCAAAATTAAATTTCTTCGGCTACTCCCTCTAAATATTGTAAATGTAATTAATCTGATGGAAATGGAACTTGTGTAAAAGAGAATTTTTAAACTTAATTCGTAACTTTACAATTAAATCTTCTAAAATAAACGCGGGTATTTGATTATTAAATACTGTAAATTAATTTTTAGTCGCCGAAATGGGTATAATTATAACAAATAAATATACACACATCGTGATCCATGGGAGTCATTATGCATTCGGATTGCTTCAAAATTATACTTAAATAACATCTTAACGCGATTGCGTTGACTTGTTTCGAGAATAGCTCTGGTGGGATAACTTGAGTTGCTGTATGAATTTATTGGAAACATAAACGTGTTTAAAATAACAGTCACTAAAATAAAACAAATCATTTATATATCATAAAACAAACAATTTTTTTATTAATGAGAAACAAAATGGACTTCAAATATCTCGCTCTATATTCATTTTATATTTGATTTTGAGGGGTTCCCTAAGCATCTCCGGTGCCCAGGATCCAATGGCAATGAAATTAATACGGGACAACATGGGAGGCACTAGCCACCACTCAGTCGAAAGCTCTGAGGTAACAAACATAAAAAAATACAGACAAATTCAGAGCCTCCTCCGTTCTTGATAATTATGTTGTATGGCATCTTTATATTTTGAGATATTAGTGTCTCCACTAAGGTCTCACCTTCACTTGGGGAGTAAGGGGTAAGGGTGACAACATCTAAACCAGCCCAAATGTCAACCTCTCCTGCTCACGTCGGTGGTTCGTTGGAAGAGCCGACGACGGTGGCCTCACAACCATCGTGGTGATCCCAGCTAAATAACCGACGAGGCTCTGGCGACCGAGCCATGGCGGTATAACCATGAACCCGGGGGGACAACCAATCGGAAGAGGCTTCAGCGGCCTTGAGGCTTAAATAACCTCTAAAATGTCTGGTGCAGGAAGCAACTGGAAACCACTGCACTATTTTCCCCAAGAAAACCACATGATTCCATCATGTGGTCACGATCCTCAGCATTGAGGGACCGGGCAAAAAGGAGAAGTGTCTTCACTGCTAAGCTGTAGCAATCAGTTCATCCGATTTTCGCACTAGGTACTTTTTTCCATTTTATTCCAGCGCGCTTCGCTTGCCACCGGTTAAGTGGCAGCCGCCGCCCATGGACATTTGCCACGCCCTATGTGTTGCAGATTTGCCTCCTTTCAATAAAGTGGGTGTGTTACCTCACTCACCAGACGAAACGCATGATATAAGTGCGCACTGCCACCTCACGCTGCTCTTCTATGAGGTCGTGGTACTACCCCAGACGGGCCTGCCCGTTCGTGCATTATACTAGACGATTAAGATTCGGTTGTTTGTGTATGTACACAATTTTTTTTATACCCACTCTGTAGGACTGCGCGACGTTTAAAAATTGTTTTGATGACCATATTGATAAATATTTTGTTTCTGTACTTTTTTATTTTTATGTTTTGGTGTGCAATAAAGTATATTATTTTATATATCTTTTATTTTCTCTGTACATTATATCTTAGTACCTTGAGGACCGAGCTTTGCTAGTAGTGACACGATCGTGACACGAACCGCGGCCTTCTATTTCGAGGCCGCCCGATTACCGACCGAGTATAACATTTTTTTTGCGGCGAAATTTACTGTCATATTCGAATGATATTTTTCATTCCCTGAAAACAGGGATAAAAGGACATTTTCTAAAAATGAAACCTAGCTAGATCGATTTTTCGCCCCCGAATCTACGCACATACCAAATTTCATGAAAATCGCTGGAGCCGTTTCCGAGAACCCGATGATATATATATATATATCATTGATATTGACACCACAAGGGAATTGTTGTGGCTGACAAATCTGTGCTCCCAGACAAATACGTAATTCCTACAGCAATGCGTAAGCTATCATACGGTAACATATTTACAGTGGTAGGGCCACGCAGCGGCCTCGGCTGATGTACAAATGGACCACGACCGCACGGCAGACCGGCGTAAAGTGGAAGTATGACAAATACTTTCGCGTTTCGTCTGGTGAGTGAGGTAGCCGGAGCCCAATTCTCAAAAGGTCAACGCATCTGGAACCCTCGGGTGTAGCAGATGTCCATGGGCGGCGGTATTCACTTAACATTAGGTGAACAGTCTGCTAGTTTGGCAACTTTACACATTAAAAAAAATCATCCTCAGGTTATGTAAAAAGTACAGCCAACTCCATGCTTTGCACAAAGAATGCCTTACATGAGACTTAAGACGCGTGAGTCCTTCTATTTTAAAAGTAGTATGTAATAAATAGTTGAAATAGAAAAACTGCGAGTACATTGATTGAGCCGTGATAGCTTAGTGTCCGGGTGCTCGCCTTTAATTTAATATACTCGAGCAACCTGAGTTCGATCCCCGGTGCCGGCACCAATGAAGTTTTTAACTTTAAGTGCTGACTTATTACGTGCTTCGCGGTGAAGGAAAACATTGTGAGTAAACCTGCATATTTTCGAAATAATTACAAAAAGAAATATATTTCGAAGATATGTGAAGTCCGCCAATCCGCAGTGGGGCCGCATGGTGGATGGACTATGCCCTGATACCCTCTGTATAGAGGAGGTCTTTGCCCAGCAGTGGGACATGTATAGGCTGTTACTTTACTATATTGATACTTATATACGTAGGTTTATTGTTCCTCTTATGCAGTTTTACGAACTCAGGGGTTCCTATTGGCAAAACTACAGCTCAGTTTCCTACTTGTTGAACGCCGAATATGTGTAAAGTAACTTTAGTCGCTACGATGATTTCGTTATTTACGAAACGTTTATTGAACGTGTGTTAGCGTCAAAGGCGCCTGTTCCAGCCTAAAATTGAAATAAAACAAGTTGTTTATGGGTTTACGGGTAGTTGTTTTTTTTTTCTGTTTGAACCTGTATTTGATTGTATTGCGTATCGGAATTTAAGTTGAAAAATAACGTTGTTAGAAAAGAAAATGCCCCGGGGGTTTGGAAATATGGAAATTATGAACGATGAAAATATTTTATGATTCAGTAAGGCAGGAAAGTCTAGAATTTCCGACCAGATTTACTTTATTTTATGCAAGCGGATGCAACAAGGCAAAAGAAATAGGGGCAGATCCTTTTCACGCTGGGAAGACGAGATCGAAAAAACAGCTGGCCCACTCTGGAAACAAGTAGCACAGGACCGAGACAAATGGAGGTCTTTGGAGGAGGCCTTTACCCACACCTAGGGATTCTGTAGATAGGGATAATAATAAATATACTTGTAGTGATCGCAAGTTAACAAAAGGAACTAACTATGAGTATCTGTGGTTCACTGGCTCACTACTACACACAGCTCCGAGCGTAGGCGCACGTCTTTACCGTACCGCGTCTAATGCTAGACTGACAGACTGTCGCTACCCCCTCTACTGGTGTACATGAGACAATGTATTATATCTATTAAATAGATACAAACACGACAATACTAAATAAGTAATATATATTATGTATATAAATAAGTAATAGATTAAATAAGTAAAGTAGTATTATTTATTAGTAGCAATTATCACAATCCAATCAATTATCTCAGCAAGGATCACAAATCTTACTAGAATAGTTTAAGTTTTTTTTAAATATGTAAAATGTATAGAAGAAATAAAGGCTTTTTTATTTATTTTTATTTATGCAAGCGGATAAGTAAAGTAAGGTAACAGCCTATATATGTTGGGCAATGGCCTCTTCTGTACAGACAGTATTAGGGCATAATCCACCACGCTACCCCACTATGGATTGGCTGATACTTTTTTTTTTAGTAATTAGTGAGAAACAAAATACGTTCGCAAAGAGACACAGAATGTTTTTACAACTTAATAAACCGTGTGGAGTATACGTGAGTTAGCAACAGACCACAGTACACCTTTCCCAATGTACTCTCATAAAAAGAAACACTTATTACAAAATAAAAAGGTTTTTTTAACCAAAATCGTCTTCGATCGTATAGTAAATTATGATAAGTTGTTTATGTGTTATACGTTTGTACTATACTCTTTATTATTATATTTATTAGTTATAAATATAATTATTAGCTTTACTATTAAATAGGACCTCTATGTTAAGAAGGGAAATGGGCCCTTGTTAGTGTAATCTGCTCTCAAAAATAGTTTTAGTTTT